TTTTACTGTCCTGTTTGGTCACCATCACCTGGGTAAATAGTTTTGATCTCTCTACCTTAATTAGTTTTTACAGCTTTGGATTACTCGTTATTTTGGTTAGACCTTCGGCATGCGACTCTTATACCTATCATGTTATTCCAGTCATTTGGTTTGTTTCCAGAACCACCTTATTTTTAAGTTTGTGTAATTATCTCTCTGCCTCATTTACTCGGATTATAGTTTATCCCTCCCCTTGTTATTCAGCTGTTGACACTTTACTCACACCATCTAACACTTCAGATCATCTGCAGGGACTTGTTATTTGACACTCCACTCACACTATTTGTATGATCTTTTGATCGCTTTGCCCTTGATCTCTGTGCACATAAATTCTGTGCTCTGTGTGCTTCTCTCTCACTGAATCTGAATCCCTGTCCATCCATTGCTCTATTTGACATCTGCCCTCCCACATCTCCTCTCTGCCATTGTCTAACTTCCTCCAACCTGATAATGGTTGTATTTTAGCTCTGTTTTGTATTTTACTGTTACTTCTCCTAACTGTGCCTAAATTAGGTTTTCACCACTGCCTATCCCCTGACTGTATGCTGCTGACTTCACAAATTCATCTTTCCAAATAATTGTTAAGTCAGAAATTGTTTTTTTATTGCACTGCTGTTACCACCTACTCTGCAAATTACAAGCTTCAGCCAGTTCACATTGCATAACGTGTATTTTTGATTTTTTGGTTTCTGACTCCCTTTGTTCTGTCTAAATCAGTTTCACAGAGTTTTTAGAAGATAAGGTTTTGCAGTCAAGAAACTGAAATCAAACATTACATCAAGATCTGAGAGAGTTGCCAAACATGTCACAACCATGAATGTTGAACATGGAAGAAGAAAGCACCATTCACAGTGAGCAGAAACCATACACTGATTCTGCGTGTGGTCAAAGCTTCAACCAATCAACCAGCCTGTCAGAACATAAATAGGTTCCTACAGAGGGGAAGACGTGGAAATGTTGGCACTGTGGGAAAGAATTCTTTCATCCATCAAAGCTGAAAATTTATTTGGTGCAATCACACCAGGGAGAGGCCATTCACCTGTTCTGAGTGTGGGACAGGATTAACTCAGTCATCTACACTGGGGAAGAAACTATTCATCTGCTCTGAATGTGGAAAAGGATTCATTCGATCATCCACCCTGATGAGACACCAGACAGTTCACACTGAGAAGAGGCCATTCACCTGCACGGAGTGTGGGGAAGGGATTTATCAATTCATCAAACCTGGTGACACAGCAGCAAGTTCACACTGAGGAAAGACCTTTTAAATGTCCAGTCTGTGGGAAGTGCTGTAAAAATTCTGGGGAGCTGTTGCTCCTTCAGCGTGGTGAGAGACCATTCAGGTGCTCTGACTGTGGGGCTGCATTTGGATGATCATCTTACCTCACTGTACACCATCAAGTTCACACCAGAGAGAAGTCATTCACCTGCTCTGCCTGTGGGAAGGGCTTCTCTCAGTCATGCCACCTGTTGATACACCATTGTGTTCATGCTGAGGATAAGCCCTTACTTGCTCTGACTGTGGGAAGGGATTCACATAGGTCTCACATCTGCCGAGTCGCCAATTTCAGAAGAAATTAAAGTGATTGGATTATTATTTTTAATCACATCCAGGAGCGAACACTGTTCATAGCTGCCTGTTTCTGCGAATGTTACTAACCACCTGTCTAGTTATATGTTTATGTAGACAAACATCAAATAAAGCAGCTTTGGGTCAAACACTGTATCATCTTTTTGTCTCTAACCCAGGTGATTCCCTTTTGAATTGCTCTCCCTCTCCCCTCCATGCTCACCTTTAACAAGAAGTGTGAGGAGCTTTGTTGTCACTGAGATTAAGACGATCTGATCATCTGCCTCTGTCCAGACTGGGAAAAGTGCTCTGGAAATCTCAGTGATCTGATTTCCTACCAATGTATTCATGCAGAGGGGAGATAGAGATCTGGAGGAACAAGTTGGGCAGCCCAGGTACCTGCTCAGACTTTCGTGTTGGAAATCATCAACACCAAGTTTCTCTCTGCCACATGGGAGAAAATCAAATTGCAAATAAATCAGGTGAGAATAGATAATATTGAGGTGTAAGTGCATGCAAATAGGACTCTCACTACTTACCAGCATGATTCTCATCTCCCTAATAAAACCTTGGGTGGAAAATCTGACTGTTCATTCCTTGACATTGGGAAATCTCATTTTTGGAACCTTTATTTATTTACCCAACTGATTCACCATTGTTCACATCGTTCAGGACTGGGAAGATTCCAACCTGTGTGTTTAACACATAGTGAGTTGAATGATAGAGACAACAAGGTGCAGGGCTGGATGAACACAGCAGGCCAAGCAGCATCATAGGAGCAGAGAGGCTGACGTTTCGGGCCGAGACCCTTCATCAGAAAAGGGGGAGGGGAAGGGGGTTCTGAAATAAATAGGGAGAGAGTGGGAGGCGGATAGAAGAGGGATAGAGGAGAGGAAACAAACAGGTCGAAGAGGCGGGGATGGAGCCAGTAAAGGCGAGTGTAGGTAGGGGGTTAGGAAGGGGATAGGTCAGTCCAGGGAGGACGGACAGGTCAAGGGGGCGGGATGAGGTTGGTCGGTAGGAGATGGAGGTGCGGCTTGAGGTGGGAGGAGGGGATAGGTGGGAGGAAGAACAGGTTAGGGAGGCAGGGACGAGCTGGACTGGTTTTGGGATGCGGTGGGGGGAGGGGAGATTTTGAAACTTGTGAAATCCACATTGATACCATTGGGCTGCAGGGTTCCCAAGCGGAATATGAGTTGCTGTTCCTGCAACCTTCGGGTGGCATCGTTGTGGCACTGCAGGAGGCCCAGGATGGACATGTCATCTGAGGAATGGGAGGGGGAGTTGAAATGGTTCGCGACTGGGAGGTGCAGTTGTTTATTGCGAACCGAGCGTAGGTGTTCTGCAAAGCGGTCCCCGAGTCTCCGCTTGGTTTCCCCGATGTAGAGGAAGCCACACCGGGTACAGCGGATGCAGTATACCACATTGGCAGATGTGCAGGTGAACATCTGCTTGATGTGGAAAGTCTTCTTGGGGCCTGGGATGGGGGTGAGGGAGGAGGTATGGGGGCAGGTGTAGCACTTCCTGCGGTTGCAGGGAAAAGTGCCGGGTGTGGTGGAGCTGGAGGGGAGTGTGGAGCAGACAAGGGAGTCACGGAGAGAGTTGTCCCTCCGGAAAGCAGATAAGGGTGGGGAGGGAAAGATGTCTTTGGTGGTGGGGTCGGATTGCAGATGGCGGAAGTGTCGGAGGATGATGCGTTGGATCCGGAGGTTGGTGGGGTGGTACGTGAGAACGAGGGGATTCTTTTTTGGTTCTTATTGCGTGGACGGGGTGTGAGGGATGAGGTGCGGGAGACACGGTTGAGGGCATTCTCGACCACTGAGGGGGGGAAGTTACGGTCCTTGATAAACGAGGACAACTGAGATGTATGGGAGTGGAATGCCTCATCCTGGGAGCAGATGCGGCGGAGGCGAAGGAATTGGGAATAGGGGATAGCATTTTTGCAGGAAGGTGGGTGGGAGGAGGAGTATTCTAGGTAGCTGTGGGAGTCGGTGGGCTTGAAATGAATATCGGTTTCTAGGTGGTTGCCCAATATGGAGACAGAGAGGTCCAGGAAGGGGAGAGAGGTGTTAGAGATGGTCCAGGTAAACTTAAGGTTGGGGTGGAAGGCGTTAGTGAAGTGGATGAACTGTTCGAGCTCCTCGTGGGAGCACGAGGTGGTGCCGATACAGTCATCAATGTAACGGAGGAAGAGGTGGGGTTTAGGGCCGGTGTAGGTACGGAAGAGGGATTGTTCCACGTAACCTACAAAGAGGCAGGCGTAGCTTGGGCCCATGCGGGTACCCATGGCTACCCCCTTTGTCTGTAGGAAGTGGGAGGAATTGAAAGAGAAGTTATTGAGTGTGAGGACGAGTTCGGCTAAGCGGATGAGGGTATCAGTGGAGGGGGACTGGTCGGGCCTGCGGGACAGGAAGAAGCGGAGGGCCTTAGGGCCATCTGCATGGGGAATGCAGGTGTAGAGGGACTGGACGTCCATGGTAAAGATGAGATGTTGGGGACCGGGGAATTGGAAGTTCTGGAGGAGGTGGAGGGCGTGGGTGGTGTCACGGACATAGGTAGGGAGTTCCTGGACCAAGGGGGAGAAAATGGAGTCTAGATAGTTGGAGATCAGTTCGGTGAGGCAGGAGCAGGCGGAGACAATGGGTCGACCAGGGCATTCAGGTTTGTGGATTTTGGGAAGGAGATAGAAGCGGGCAGTGCGAGGTTGGGGAACGATGAGGTTGGAGGCCGTGGATGGGAGGTCACCGGAGGTGATGAGGTTGTGGATGGTTTGGGAGATGATGGTTTGGTGCTCAGGGGTGGGGTCATGATCAAGGGGGCGGTAGGAGGAGGTGTCGGAGAGTTGGCGTCTGGCCTCGGCGATGTAGAGGTCAGTGCGCCATACTACAACTGCGCCTCCCTTGTCCGCGGGTTTTATGGTGAGGTTGGGATTGGAGCGGAGGGAGCGGAGGGCTGCACGTTCTGCGGGGGAGAGGTTGGAGTGGGTGAGAGGGGTGGAGAGGTTGAGGCGATTGATGTCTCGACGGCAGTTGGAGATGAAGAGGTCGAGGGAGGGTAGGAGGCCTTGGGGTGTTGTCCAGGAGGAGGGGGTGAATGATGTTTGCTGTGGAACACACATCAAGTCTGGTTGCTGAAAGTGATGGACAGACTTGGTTTTGCTTTTAGTGATCCCGGCTACTAACACTTTTGCTGGATAACACGATTAAGAGAGACACTCTGGAAGGAATGGGAGTTGGACTTGTCCATAGGAGTAACTGAAGTATGAGAATAGAAAAAATCCAGAGGTAGAAATGAGAAAAGGCCTGAAAAAGGTGCCATTATCAACAGGACATCATTTTGGAGAAATTAAGAACCTGACACACTGTTTCAAATTACATTAGTGTATTGTGATCTGTTACAGTAATTAAATTCCAGCTCAGTTATGGGATTAATAACATCAGCAGATATAAAACTCCAGCTGTCAGAATGAACTCGCTTGTAATGATCACCAGCAACAACAGAATCCATCCCCTGCAGATCATTTGTGAACACGTTGGTGTGTCCGTAAGTGGCATGACTGAATGAATCGCTTCCCACACACGGAGCAAATGAACAGCCTGTCCCCAGTGTGAATACGTTGGTGTCTCAGCAGACTGCCTGTGGTTTTAAAGGTCTTGTCACATTCAGAACATTGAAAAGATCTGCTATCAGTGTGAACAAGCTGGTGTGAATTGAGGTGAGATTGTCGAGTGAATCGTTTCCCACAGACAGAGCATGTAAATGGCCTCTCCCCAGTGTGAATGCGCTGGTGTGTGAGGAGGTGGGATGAACGGGTGAATCCCTTCCCACATAGGGAGCAGGTAAATGGCCTGTCCCCCGTGTGAATACGCTGGTGCATAAGCAGATCCCTTGCAGTTTTAAAACTCTTCTCACAGTCAGAACATTGGAAAGGTCTCTCGTCAGAGTGAGCTCGCTGGTGTAAAGTGAGATTGGACAAACAGAGAAATCCCTTTCCACACATGGAGCAAGTGAATGGCCTCTCCTCAGTGTGAATTCGCTGGTGCCTCAGCAGATCACCACTAGTTTTAAAAGCCTTCTCACATTCTGAACATTTGAAAGGTCTATCATCAGTGTGAACACGTTGGTGTGAATTGAAGTGAGATAACCGAATAAATTCCTTCTCACACACGGAGCAGGTGAACAGCTGCTCCCCAGTGTGAACCTGATAGTGTTTTAGGAGGATCCATGAATGTCTAAATGCCCTCCTGCAGTGAGAACAACTGAACTGTCTCTTGGTGTGAACGAGCTGGTGTTTGACCAGATCCTGTTGTCTTTTAAAGCTCTTCTTACAATCAGAGCAGTTAAACAGCCTCTCCTCAATGTGAATCAGCTGGTGCCTCAGCAGCTGGGACAGAAAATTAAATCCTTTCCCACACACGGAGCAGGTTAATGGTTTCTCCCCAGTGTGAGTCCTCTGGTGGATATGTAACATTGATGATGAAGTGAATCCCTTCCCACACATGTGGCAGATGAATGGCTTCTCCCCTGTGTGACTGCGTCGGTGAATCTCCAGCTGGGAAGGGTAATTGAATCCCTTCCCACAGTCCCCACAATTCCACTGTTTCTCCATGGTTTCGTTGTCCTTGTCTTTCTTCAGGTTGGACATTAGTTCAATCCTTGTCGACACGCAGAACACGTATATGGTTTCATCCCCTGTGAATGTTGTGTATTTATTTTTAAAACTCTAAAACTGGACACTCACTCTCGTTGTGTATGTCTCCCGTCATTTCTCTCTCCACATTTAAAGACCGATGATGTGCTGGTCCTGATAAATTGAAAAATCCTGGCAGATCTCAAAGTGATGATTGGCTTGATTTGTTCATTTAGAAATCTTCCCTGATCCCCTGTAAAAGGAGTTAATAAAAGACATCACTGTCAGTCCAGATTAAAAATTTAGAACAGACAATTCCAGTTTCCATGAAATATTTCTTTCCTCTCCTGTTTCTTCAAAGCTGTAAATTCCCATCTCACACACTCTCTCTCCCACCTGAGCCGAAAACAACATAAACTATATTTGTATTCTTTTCACAAGTTTGTACAAATAAAGAAAGCAATTCTGTGAACAAATTAAGGAGGAAAGACTTCTTTCCACAAACAAGATATAGAAGAAATAGATCTTGATTCGGCATAGTTCCCCTACCTTATAAAATTCATAAATAGTCTGCAAATATTTGAGAAATGAAGGAATGAATGTGACAACATATAATAACGGATTTTAATACATGACGCAGGGTGCTGTGCACCTATTATAGAGTCATATAACATGGAAACAGACCCTTTCATCCAACCAGTCCATGCCAAACATAATCCCAAACTGAACTAGTCCCACTTGCCTGCTCCTGGGCCCATATCCCTCCAAACCCATGTACTTAAGTGTCTTTTAAGCATTGTAATTGTGCCCATACCTCTATTTTCTATTTGAATAGAGGAGAGTTGCAATTTACAATATACAATAGCAACCTGTATGTTCAAATTAGCATAATTTTGCAATATTTTTGATAGACAAAGAAGTGAAATGTTCTGGGAAGGTGGAAAGTGAAGCAGAGACCACAATCAGATCAGCCATGATCATGTTGAATGGTGGAATTAAACTCAGTTCCTTGTTCAGTTTTGGTTTCTGATTCTCAAGGCAAGCCCCTGCTCATATTTTACAAGGACCCACCTGCTATTCCAGAATTCCAAAAGGTGAAACTACTGATCCATTTTAATCTGTTTATTGAGAAAATGAATCTTGATTTCAATTTTACAGGATAAATTATTTAACAGTGGTTTACAGTGACTCACCTGCCCAGTCAACTCAGGTTCCAGACCTCAAAACTATAGAATCATAGAATCCCCACAGTGTGGAAACAGGCCATTCAGCCCAACAAGTCCATACCGACCCTCCGAAGAGCATCCCACCCAGATCATCTCCTTACCCTATCCCTGTAACCCTGCATTTCCCGTGACTAATGCAGCTCACCTACACATCCCTGAACACTATGGGCAATTTAGTGTAGCCAATCCAAACTTGCACATCTTTGGACTGGAGGAAACCAGAGCATCATGCAGACATGGGGAGAACGTGCAAACTCCACACATACAGTGCCTTAGGTTGGAATCGAACCCGGGTCCCTGGCGCTGTGAGGCAGCAGTGCTAACTGCTGAGCCATGGCGCCATCCTTTTTTTAACTTCTCTATCAGAGAACATGGTGCTACCACCTTAACTACAGTTGTTGTTGTTAATGGGGCACAGGCCACACCACCCCCCACAAGCACCTCCCACCTGTCTGCATGCAGCAAAAAATACACTGGCATCAAGGCCCAAGGCATTCAAATGTCCAGGTTGCTCCCTTGCTGGAGACCCTCAAAGCCCTCAAAGGGTAGTCAGGTCTAAACTTCCTCAGAATCAGCCCCACTCACTTTGTGACCTTGCAATCAGTGACAGAAACTTCTGCTCCCTCACTCTGCTTGCTGAGAGTTTCCAGGACAATTAATCCTCAGTTGCCAACAAGACCTGTCAGCAGCCATTCAAGACATCAGAGGAAAGAAACCAGGTGTTGAATCTGAATTCTGAAAAGGAAAGAGAGAAACAGGACTTTTTTTTTAGAAAAAACACCAATTAAAAATAATCAAACAAATTATTGCTACTATTATATTCAATTTGTGAGAGACTGACAAGAAGTAAATATTGATAATGTTCACCGTTTTCTACCATGTTTTCAAAGATATAAACACGTGATCCTTCCCTCTAATGAGATCAATGCCGGCCCAGAATAGCTCAACAGGTGAAACCAGCATCTCAGCAGCTGAAGAACCACAGAAGAGAGCAACGGCAAAGCTCCACCTTAGAGACCACTAGCCAGTGCACAGCATTTGCAGTGGAGCTTGTGGAGGCTGAGCAGAATGGAACAGATACTGAATAAATGGAAACCGAAAGAACTGTAGATACTGTAAATTAGGAACAAAGAAAGAAGTTGCTGGGAAAGCTCAGCAGGTGTGACAACATCTGTGAAGAAAAAAATTAGAGTTAACGTTTCTGAGGAATGGTCACCGGACCCAAAACATTAACTCTGATTTTTTTTTTCTTCACAGATGCTGCCAGACCTGCTGAGCTTTTCCAGCAACTTCTGTTTTTGTTCCTGAATAAATAACTATAAGCTAACAAGATGAGTAATGGCCGGAGATTTACCCACAATGTCTCGCGATGGTGAACGTCCTCTATGCCCACAACAGCGACCAATGCGGCTGCGCATTGCTGTACTACATTCTGAGCATTTGCGAGGCCGGTGATGGTAATGGGAGCTGATCGGTTTATCGCCAGGCGGCCAGTAAATGGCGGCGACGCGGAGGGAATTATGAACAACAACATGGCAGGGAGGATTCCTAAACACCTACTGTAGGCCACAAACAACGAATGAAACTCTGTCGGTCCCGCGTTGATAAAATCTGAAGGATTTTCTCATGCACATGGCCTAGTTCATATCGACCATCTTGTTTTAACGGGGTCCGTGCGCATGCGTTTAATTGGTGGGCGGCACCTCGAACGTCCACGTGACCAGGAGAGGCAATGATTTGATTCTCAGTCTGCAGACAGGAGCTGGAGAACTGAAGACAGGCAAAGAGAGGTACGGTGAAAACTGGAAATGGAGGAAAGAGATGGGGGAGATGGGTTTGGGATTCAATCTTTTTGCTGGGAGAGTCAGGAACATAGGAACAGGAGTAGACTAATCAGTCCTTCAAGCTCTTCAATGAGATAATGGCTGACCCGTGGCCCGATTTTGACCATTGGCTCATATCTCTACTTAATAAAAAATCATCTATCCCAGATTTAAAATCAATAATTGATCTAGCGTCAACTATCGTTTATGGAAGAAAGTGCAAACATCCACCACCTTTATCTGTAGAAGTTCCTCATAACATTTCTCCTAAATGGTCTGGCACAAATTCTAAGACTATGCTACCTAGTTCCAGTACATAAAGCAGTGGACATAATTTATCTGCACTTTTTTTTTCCTGTTAATACCTTGGAAATCACGATCAAATCACATCTTCTGAGGAAGGGTCACCGAAATGTTAACTCTGTTCTTCCCTTCACAGATGCTGCCAGACCTGCTGAGCTTTTCCAGCAACTTGTTTTTGTCCCTTGCAGGACATTATGAGTCACATTCTGCCAATTTGAGTAGCTACCAATTATCCCTTCTTTCTGTTACCTGTCAACCAACCAATTTCCCAGCCATAACAGTACAACATAGAACAGTACAACACAGTACAGGCCCTTCGGTCCACGATGTTGTGCCGAACTTTTACCCTAAACCTAAGGTCTATCTAACCTCCACCCCTACCTTATACTATCATCCATGTACCTGTCTAAGAGCCGCTTAAATGCTCCTAATGAGGCCGACTCCACTACCATCTCCGGCAATGCATTCCACACCCATGCCACACTCTGAGTAAAGAACCTGCCTCTGACGTCTCCCCTATATCTACCTCCACTCACGTTACAACTATGCCACCTCGTAATAGCTACCTCCACTCTAAGCAAAAGTCTCTGGCTGTCCACTCTATCTATACCTCTGATCATTTTGTATACCTCTGATCATTTTGTACACCTCTATCAAGTCACCTCTCATCCTTCGTCTTTCAAAAGAGAAAAGCACTAGCTGTCTCAACCTTTCCTCGTAAGACTTTCCCTCCATTCCAGGCAACATCCTGGTAAATCTTCTCTGCACCTTTTCCAACTCTTCCACATCTTTCCTGTAATGAGGCGACCAGAACGGGACACAATACTCCAGATGTGACCGAACCAGGGTTTTGTATAGCTGGAGCATAACTTCACGGCTCTTGAACTCAATCCCTCTATTAATGAAAGTTAACACACCATATGCCTTCTTAACAACTCTATCCACCTGGGTGACAGCTTTCAGGGAACTGTGGACATGAGCCCCAAGATCCCTCTGCTCCTCCACACTGCTAATCCAGTATTCTGCTTTCAAATTTGTCCTTCCAAAATGAATCACCTCACATTTTTCAGGGTTAAACTCCATCTCCCACTTCTCAGCCCAGCTCTGCATCCTTTCAATGTCGCTTTGCAACCTAGAACAGCCCTCCATACTATCCACAACTCGACCCACCTTCATATCGTCCGTGAACTTACTAACCCACACTTCCACTCCTTCATCCAAATGTAGTTTGCCCTCAGCTCCTCGCGCCTCTTCCTCAATTTACAGTATTTTACATGTGACTTTATCGGATACCTTCCGGAAGTCCGTCCAAACAACATCCACAGATATTCTCCTGTTCACTACCTTAGTCACCTCTTTAAAAAAATCAATGAAGAAGAAAGAAAGAACAAAAATGAATACAGCACAGGAACAGGCCATTTGGCCCTCCAAGACTGTGTGACACTTTTGCCCTTCTATACTAAAACTGTCTTCACTTACAGGATCCATATCCCTCTATTCCCTTCCTAGCCATGTATTCATCCAGGTACTTCTTGAATGCTGCCATTCTGTCTGCTTCTACTACCTCCTCTGGCAACATGTGCCAGGCACTCACCACCCTTGAAAACCTTGCCTTGCACATCTCTTTTAAATTCCACCCCCCCCTACCCCCTGCACCTTGAATCTCTGACTCCTAGTAATTAACCCCTCCACCCTGGGGAAAATAAGCTTCATACTTTTCACACTATCCATGGCATTCACAACTTTATGAAGTTCTATCAGTTCTCCCCTCAACCTCCTGAATTCTAGTGAAAACAAACCTAGTCTATCCAAACTATTTCATAGCTAAACCTCCCCCAGTACCAGGCAAAATCCTGGTAAATCTTTTCTTTACCCTCTCTAAAGCATCCACATCCTTTTCGTGGTGTGGTGATCAGAACTGTATGCAATATTCCAAGCGTGACCTAACTAAAATTCTATAAAGCTGAATGAAGACTGGAATTTACAGCTTTGCAGAACAAGAGGACAATATTGAATTAATTAACTTAATTTAGTAAAGCTAGAATTTAATGTTTTGAATTTCTATTCCATATTGACAGTAGTGACAATTGTAAACTCCTTTTACAGATGGATTGAACAGGAGGATTTATGATTAGAAATCTCAAACCAAGCACCACAGGAAGGCACTTGACTCATCAGGATCTGAATATCACCAGCCTTTGAATATGGAAGGAGAATATTTGTCTGTTCTGCATTCAAGAAAGGGTTTCAAATACTATTGTGACTTCAAAAACACTGAGCCACAGTGATAACAGCTGTATCCACTAACACAACCTGAAAAAGAAACCACTATTCTGAGGAGAAACCACACGTGTTGCAAGATTGTCCAATCTGGAGTCACACAAGGACACCAGCACCATGGAGAAACAATGGAGATGCGAGGACTGTGGAATTGGCTTCAGTTACCCAGCCCAGCTGGAATTATGGAGTCATACTGGAGAGAGGCTCTGGAAATGTGAGGAATTTGGCAAGGGATTTGATTCTCATTACCTGCCAGAAACCCATCAATGCAGTCACACTGGTGAGAAGCCATTCTTCTGTTCCGTGTGCAGAAAGGGATTTGCACAGTCAACTGTCCTGGCATTGCATCAGTGAATTCACACTGACCAGAGGCCCTTCTGCTGCACTGACTATGGAAAGAGGTTCAGGCAGTCATACTACCTCACTGTACACCAGTGAGTTCACACTGGGAAGAGGCCATTCACTTGCTCTAAGTGTGGGATTTAATGTATCCTCCCACTTGCTGAAGAATGAGCAAGTTCTTACTGAGGACAGGCTGTTCACTTGCTCCGAGTGTGGGAAGGGATGTATTCAGTTAGCCAAACTGGCATCACATCAACGAATTCACACAAAGGAGAAGTTGCACTCGCTGTCGAAAGAAATTCAAACTTTCGAGCAACTTCAAAGCACACCAGTAGGTTCACACTCGGGAGAGGCTATTCACTCACACCGTATGAGAGACAGGGTTCCCTTGATTACCCAGAATGTTGAGACACCAGCAAATGCACAAGTGACTGCAAACTCTGGATTGTACTGTTGACCATATCCAGGATTGGTAGTCTGACAGTATTCAGTGTTTCCGCTGATATTAACAACACACTATAAGTAAGTGGCGTTTAATATTCTGGATAAAGCACTGATTTTCAAAACTTCAATGTTAATTTTTAAACGAGCTATCTTATTATTCTGTTTCATTCCAGAACTTCAACAAGAACCTGATTACAATGAAGTTATAAATGTGATCACCTTTGGTGCAAAATCTACAATTTGGTGTCTGATTCTCTCTGCATCCTGGGAAGGCCTTCACAAGAGTGCTTTTGAAAGACCTCATCTCCTTGAAGACTGACTTTATCCTGAAGCAGAGTGTGATTTCCATGCTGGCAGAGTGACAGGGGACACACTATTCTCCTTACCCCAGGTACAAAACAAGTGCTCAGAACAGGATTTACCTCCTCACCTTCATGTTGTAGAACTGACTAAACCCATTTGAAACCAAAAGTGGGACAGATTTTGACAGGATTTTGGGCGAAATTTGCTGTCGGCCAAAGCTCTTCAGGCTGATCTGCTCCTTTAATAAACACACTCCATAATCTCACAGCACCACATCTGACATATTCAGGGTGAAGAATGGAGTGACACAGACACCAACACCAAAATCAACAAACTACCATGATGCCTGGTAACCATAAACAAAAATAACTTCTCTCAGGGAGATGTGACAATGAATGATGAGATGAGGAATCAGAACAGTGCAATTGAAGTCGAGAAAGGCATTGTATTAAATTGCTGCTTTCCAAATCTTGTCCCAATGGGACACATTCTAATCTCTCAAAATCTGCATCACCTGAGAGTTAAGTTTTGGGAGTTCTGAGAATTGCTCATCAGTGTGGCAAAGGGAGATTGGCACAGAGTTAGTCACATATTATTAATGTATTTGGGTTCTGATTATTAATGCAATAATATCTAGATTATTCATTCTATACACTCGGGATTATTGATACAACTGCTGAATTACCTTTATGTAATAAGATCCTGTTTATTAATGTAACAGGGCTCTGGTTATTAATTGTTATGATATGATTATTTTACACATTAGCATCCTGATTACTGATGAAATTATTTCCCAGTTTCAGAAGGAATATGTGACTAATTCTTACTGAAACAGGAACTGTGTAAGTAATTAAATCCTGATCCCGTGGAATTGAATCTTAAGAGCACAGAAGGTGGCCATTTAGCCCATTGTGCTAGTACTGTCTCTGAAAATATTGACAATCTGCCCCACTCCCTGCTCCTTCTCTCTGAAAACACTTCCTTATTAAGGAAAAGTCCAAATCATTTTTGAAAGTTACTGTTGGATTTGCTTCCATCAAACATTCAGATTATGTCAGCAAGATGATCAGAACTCATTGAGTAAAATAATCGCATCTGCCCCCTTGGATTTTTTGCTGCATACTTTGAAGTTGTGTTCTGTGATTACCAAGTATCTGGCAGTGGACAGAAATTGCTCCCTGTGCAGATAAAACTGCCACAAAAATTTTCACACCATAATAAAATCATTCTTCAACCTGCTGTGCTCAAAGACAAATAATCTCAGTAGAGTTCCTACAATGTGAAAATAGGACATTCAGCCCAACAATTCTACACTGACCCTTTGAAGAACATCCCACCCAGACCCATCCCCTTTCCCTGTAACCCTACATTTCACATAGCTAATACAACTAATGCACACATCCCTGAACATTATTGGCAATTTAGCGTGGCCAATCCACCAAACTTGCACATCTTTGGACTGTGGGAGGAAACCTTAGCACCCAGCAGAAACCCATGTATACACAGGAAAATGTGCAACCTCCACGCAGACAGTTGCCTAAGGGTGGAATTGAACCTGGGTCCCTGGCAGTGTGGGGCAGCAGTGCTACCCATTGAGCCACGATGTTACCCTTCAGCTTCTCCAGTCTCTCCATGGTATGTAACAAAAACAAAGTTGCTGGAAAAGCTCAGCAGGTCTGGAAGCATCTGTGAAGGAGAAAACAGAGTTAACGTTTTGGGTCTGGTGACCCTTCCTCCATGGTATGTGATAGTTTGGGAAAATTGGTTGGCAGGGATGAGTTATCCCGAAGAGTCTGATTCCTTGCAGGTGAGAGAGAGAGAACCAGAAGGGAGAGTGAGAACTTAACAATTTCACTGAACATGGGGAAGTTGGACCAGATGTTTTGTAGGAGTAGGGTTGAGGGACTCAAAAGTGGGTCAAATAGACTTTTTGAGCAGTGACAGAGCATGATGGGAGATAGGAAAGAAATTAGAGAATGATATGAATAAGAACTTTTGAGGCAGTTTGTCCTGGTGAGCTTGGAGAAGGGAGGGACAGTGCAGAGGCAAGTGATCAGATGGTCTCAATCTGTGACAAAGTCCATCAGGTCCTCACATTGTTGGACTTGAAGATGGAGGAGATGGGGAAAGTCCTTCAACCTTGAGTAGGAGTGGCCCATTCAGCCCCTGAACCTGCTCTGTCATTCAATTAAATGATGGATGGTCATTTCTTTCCCACATTATTTCTGTTTCGCATAATGTCATTCATTTCCAGGAATCTACTGAATTCTGACTTGAAAATCCTCAATCATTGAGCTTCCACTGCTTCCTGGGTAGAGAACTGCAAAGTTTCTGAGCAAAAAATTCCTCCTCAATCTGATCTTAAATGGCCAAGCCCTTATTCTGAGACTATGTCCCTTGGTTCTAAACTGAACAGCCAAGGAAGAAATTCTACCTACACTCACCCTGTAAGAATAATGTAAGTTTCAATGAAATTGCTGTTCATTTTCCAAATGTTATGGTCCCAGTTGATGGAACTATTGGACAAGTTGGATCTCTGAGTTAAACTTGACTTGATAGATCATAAGATAGTAGGAACTGCAGATGCTGGAGAATCTGAGATAACAAGGTGTAGAGCTGGATGAACACAGCAGGCCAAGCAGCATCAGAGGAGCAGGAAAGCTGACGTTTCAGACCTAG